TAAAACTCTCTTAACTCAGAATTCTCTACTAGTTTAAATTAAATCTACCTTCTTATTTAAATTTTTTTCTATTTATTTCTCCTTGCATCTCTATCTTCCTTTGCATGAGAACTATTATTCTTATTGCCAAACAGTCAAAATATTGTCCTTCCCTTGAATGACGCTCTACCAAAAATAAATTGTTCTTTAATGTAAATGATCTTTGTTTTTACTTCATGCTTGAGAAAATGTCATGGATACTGACTATATGCTGGCAGTTGTATGTTTAAAAACTATGAAAGTATTCTTCACATCACAGGCTTTCTCAGTTATTAAGAGTCACGAACTATTTTCTTAGCTACAAGAACTCTCTTCTTAGAGGTCCATGTGTTTTACTGAATAAGAAGTATGCTTTACTTTTGCTGTGATGTTTATAGGTTTGCATTTCTATTAATTTATCATGCTTCAGATGCAGAAATTTCACTAAAGAATTGTCTTCTACCATTGTTGGAAGATCTATAGCTATTTCTTCAAATACTATGTCACCAGTCTTTCTCTTATTGAACATCAACTACGGATATAATAGCAGCACTTTCCCCCTATTTAATTTACCCTTCCAGCTATGTTTTTTACTCCCTCAGATTTATGTCTTTTAAAAACCACATCATCTCTGTTTTACATTCTGGATAATTCATTCTGAGCTGAGATCCAGCTATGTTTAATCTACTTATAAACCCATCCATTTGGATTTTTTATTTGTTTATTTTTAGTGGTACTGGTGACTGAACTGAGGATTCACTGAGATGCATCCCTAGTCATTTTTAATTTTAAATTTTGAGATAAGGTTGTGATTAATGCTCAGACTAGCCTCAAGCCGGGGATCCTCCTGCCTCCACCTTTTAAGTAGCTCAGATTATGTTATGGTTTATACTACTATAACTAGTTTATCCATTGAATCTTTAACTTGAATTTCTGTATTACTTACTCCTAGAATATATGTTCACAAATTCAAGCCCAGCCTGGACAGTTGAGTGACTCAGTAAGACACTATCTTGAACATAAATAAATAAATAAATAAATAGCTGGGAAAGTAGTTTAGTGTGAAATCCCTGGGTTCAATTCAAACAAACAAATGAACAAAAATAGCATGATAAAATTTTGTATCATTTATTGCTTTTCATAAACACAGAAAACATGAAAAATTCAGGATCAAAATGTAGAAGAGAAATGTGATCATTTCATGTAAGGAAAAAATAGATAGATAGATAGATAGATAGATAGATAGATAGATAGATAAAGATACATATAGATACCTATATATATTTGTTTCTTCAGGAAACCTTCACTTTTCATAATTACTAGCATTTGTAGACTTGCCATTATGCTGTTCAATAAAGTGAGCATAATTACACTATAGTTTGGACTATTAATTCAGTATCTTGAGTTTTAGCTTATTATTTTTTTGCTGATTCTGTTGCGTATAATATGTATGTCTTAATTTTTCCCTGTTGCTTTAGATTATGCTCTGATTCTTGTACTGCAAAATTATGTGTAGAAACAGATTGCAACCTGGAACAATGTGATCCTCCAGACAGCTTAGACTTTTCATTACATGAAATACAGTGGGGTTTCTTAATCCAAATTCAAGTTTTGAAAATCTTTGTACACCTAGGTGACAATTTCAGGAAAGTAGTTCATTTAAAAGTTAGTCTATTCACTTTTACTATACATTCATGCTTGCAAATCTTCACTGTTTCAATTCGTGCTTTGGAGCAATTATCACACCCTTCATTTTGCATATCTCATGCACTGTACTTTTATGACGCCTCCAGCACTGTGTCACCTTGGCTACTGTTTTTTCTGAATTACTAAGTGTCTTCAGGAGAAAATCCCTGAGTACTCGGTTTATCCTTGATTTTGGCTTTCTTTCAAGAGAAACTTGGTGATTAATCAGAAGTTTTAAAATATTTTGACCAGCCTTTGTATATACAGGAAGCTGAAGTTACTTGCTTCATCATTCTTGAAAGCAGACGACTTTGACCCTACTAATTTATATATGGAACTCTATGAAAAGTTCTTATTTAAAATGTGAATGCCCATGTGTCATATATTGAGTGCTCAAAATTTTAAAATAAAAAGTTTTGCTCAAATGCACTGCTGATTTTTGAGTACTTCGGAACATTGCAGTTGATAGTGTACCATATAAAAGGGTATTTTACAATTCACTGCAAGCTTTAGGCTTTAGAACGATAATTTTCTCTTAGTTTCTTCTAAGAATTTTGAAAAGAGAGATGATGTAAATTAGATTTAGTTTTCTTTATTTGGGTGTTGGAGAAATTCAAACTGGATTGTTTGCAAAAATCTTTATATTTTGAGTTGTCTTCTCATTGAGTGTAAGCTTTCTTATGATATTTAAAAAGTTTTAATATTATGATAGACAGATTTTCAGTATTTGATTTTTTACTTAGAGAATCTGTATTCCAGTATTTAAAACTTATTTAAATATAATTTCTATGAAGAATGTGTGTGTGTGTGTGTGTGTGTGTGTGCGCGTGCGCGCGCCTTTTATTTCAGTCACCAGTTCACTTGGAATTTCTTCACGTGGTAAGGTGCACACACTGTCTCAGCTTTTGCTTCTCAGACAGCTGCCTCGTGAGCAGCAGCTCCCAGAACCCTTCCCTGCTCCCTGGCCTAGCGAGGCCACTATTTTGCACTTCCATTGCTGTCTGCGTATCTACCGCTGCATTCCTAATACGTTTCCTACTATGGAAGCATCATGATTCCCACATATTCCTAACTCTTCCCTATCTTTTTCATTTTTTAAATTCCTTATAATGCTCAACAAACTTTCCTTGGCCTTTGAACTTTCATATAAATTTTATAAGAGTTTTACCATGTACTATGATAAAACTGTAAAACTGTAGCACTTTGGTGGGTATATAGTTGAAACTTTAGATTCAGAATTGACTTCTTTTGCTACAAATTATTCTTAACTCTGGCTATAAGGAGGATATCAATTTGTTAAGGTTTCCTATATTGTCTCTTAATAATGTGGTATAATTTTCCAGATAGTATACCAATTTTACATATATACTTTTTACAAAGTACTTATTAATGTATACAAAGTGCTAATACTCTTAAAAATAGTGTTTTCATATTATATGTTCCATTATTTGTTACTATTATAAAAAAGCCAATTGTCTTTCCTATATGAATCCACATAAATTTCTCTATTATTTTTAATGTTTTCTGTTCTGGTATTATTTGTTTCAATGTAAATAATCACATTATTTCAAACAAAAAGTTAATTCTCACTTTTTCCATGCTTATGTGTATAAGTAAAAATAAAAGGGCTGGCCAGAGAGCTCAGTGAATTAAAGCTCCTGCTTAGGTGGAGTGCAGCAGCCAGGGTTCGCTGAGATGGTGATTAAGACTGGGCATGGTGGCATGTGCTTGTAATCCCAGCACTTTAGAGGCTGAAAACAGGAGAATCACTACAAGTCTGATCTATGTAGTGAGACCCTCTAGACCCTGTAGACCCTGTGCTAAATACATAAAAAATAAAAACACTATTTTCTTATTGTACTTTGACTTCATTTACAGCATATTGTCTTCATTCAATATGTGAAATGACATCAACATATTTAGCAAAGATTTAACTTAAAAAAATTATTATAGCAAAAGACTCCTTAAAATACCTCCCTTCACTTCAAATATACTCAATTCATCTTTTTTTGTCATTTTCCATTCATGCCCTTCATGGGCATTTTGACTTTGAGGAAGAGCCAAAAGTCACATGGTACTACATCTGGCAAATGGCGAATGAGGATGATGGTGATGTTTTTAGGAGCCGCCTTTCATTGGCTGGCACCAAGCAGCAGTGATCACAGTGTGTACTTCTGATCACTCATCATAAAGATATGAATCAGGATGATCAGAACAGCTTTAGAAAGTGGCAGAAATGATGGCATAAGTAGTGTCCCGTGCAAGGAAGATGATTTTGAAGGGGAACCATGGGAATATATAATTCTGCCGTATGTTTTTAAAGCATTCATCATATATTTTGTCCATCCTAAGTGTGTTATTTGTGGCTTTTCTTTCTTCTTCACCAATTTTACCAGTTTTGCCTATTGTGTTAGGCTATTTTTCATAGAAACAACTTTTGACCTCATTGAGCTTTCATGACTTTATTCAAATATTAATGTCTACAAATACAAAGCCCTTAAAGCACTGTTGGCTGGGGAGATGGCTCAGTAGAATAAGTGCTTCCCTGGCAAACACAAAGGT